CTGGGCGTTACCTTTGACCCCGCCTCGGTCAGAGCCCGGGGTTATGGCACGCCCCTGGGCGGAGAGAGTGGCAGCTCGGCGGTTTCTGGAGTTGGGCATCGTCGGGAACGGGGAGCCTTCGTCATCTGACTCCGCCTCGAACTGAGCTCTGGGCAGACAGATGACTTTGTCTACGCTCTGAGCAGTGTTGGAGATTGGAGTCCCGCCCCGGCCTTGCCGCTTGCCTCGTCGTCTTCCCTCGCTAGGCGGCCTGGGATCAGGTTCCAAACTCCCAATCCCGTGGATGTAACTGGAGCTTTCAGTGCGCGGCCGTCTAGGAAGAAGATTCTGATGGTGTCTCGTTGCGTTATGCCCTGACTTTTCCACGAAACTTCTGGCACTTTCCCGAGAACTGGTTCGCGAACGTGAAGTTTGGAAGTGAACGGATTTGCTCTCCGCTGAATTCAGCAAGTCGGCAGATCCGTTAGGGACTAGCGTGACGAAACGATGGAGTCTGAACGGCTTTGTCTGGTCGTCCGTGTCTCGTAGTTTGCGTATACTTTCCGGGATGTGAACGTTTCGTGAATCGATGGACGCGTGTAAAGATTTTGGTCGTTGTCTCTCCTCCGCACCACGACCTATCGTGTGTGCTAAGTAATCACTTTTCACGATTTTCCCGTCCGACATTGAAACATCTGCGCCTCCCGCATGATACGTCTTTGGTCGGAAACTCGAATGTCTGAAAGCCGTCTTTTCTGAATTCCTCACCACGGCCTTTTGTTCATAGTCCTTCGTGTCCATCGAACTAGGTTTGATAATGTAATGTTTTCCGGAAATCATCCCGTTTTTGCCGATCTTCAGAGGAGAGGAGTCCTGAGACTTTTGTTGTGGTGCCGGGGAGGGCTTTGCCTGGTGAGTCGGACGCGCCGACACGAGGAAGGTAGACCTGTGGGAGAAACTGTTGGCGTTGTCGCTGTGCGGGGTGTCCACCGTCGTGCTGTCTTTGGAGTTAGACTGGAGGAAAGCGATGACCTGCTTCATGTTCAGCTTATCCGGGTCGTTCTCGGCGATCGGCGTCTTACTCCGAGGTAGCTCGTTCACGTTTAGTTTGACACGCCGTAATGGTCTGCCGGAAGACACTCTGTCGAGATCGAGGTTAATTTTGTGTTTCCGAAGCTCCATCTCTCCTGGACTGGTCGTCGATGATCGCCAGAACCGTGTCTTACCGTGAGACCAGTGGCCCTCGCCGCCTATTTTGGCAGTTGGTTTGGGCAAAGATTTCAACTTTTTCTCTCTTCCAAAAGTGGCTGGCTGCAACGGCTCGGGGGAGAGAATCAGGCCGCTGTTGCCGTGGTTGCTGTCTAAGACAACGGCAGAAGTAGCTCCCAGAATCTCGTCGTTGATGTCTTTGACCGCGCACCGCACGGTCTCCGGCTTAGTCGTGCTGTACACGCCGTACTCAGACTTGGCCCTGCTCTTGACCAGTGACATGACGTCACCGACACCGCTCCGGCTAGCGGCCTGGGCGCGGGACAAGCGCTCGGAGGACGCTCGCAGAAGTCGGCGCTGCTGGTCTCGGCTGTGTCCGCCCGCGCCGTTGTCCCGAAGTGAGGGAGACGTGACGTTGTATAGAGCCACGGACGCGCTCTTCGACCTCAGCTTAGCGGCGGCTCGCTCGCTCCGCGTCACGGCCAACACGGGGAAGCTTCTCGACGTGTCTTGTGTGTCGCCGCCGTACAGGGCAGCCGGCCCCGGCTCGGGCTTCTGCTGTGGGGCTCGGGGCCCAGAGCCTGCATCGTTCCTGGAGAAGGGCAGGAGATGGAGCACGGCGGGCTGGCTTTTGCTCGGTGGCATAACGGTCGCACTCATGGCGGTCGTAAACAACTTAGAAGAAGCAGTTACACAATTACAAGGCCTATCCTCTCATAGTGGTCTCAACTTTGAAATTATAATACTTACATGGTCCGCCGATTCAGTAACCAAATAACAGAGAGCGAGAAAAGAAAACAACTCACGCAACTGAAAACATATGAAAATAGTTCTAAAGTGAGTCTGACGAAGCAGAAACAAACCAAGTTGAAGGCTTCACAAAGAACCCATTGGAATCTGATAGCTGTGCTGTGTAACTCACGGGAAAATACAAATAGAGCCAGCGAGGAAAGGAAACCATATGGGATTAAGTGAATCCTATTATATTCCGTTACGCTTGGCGGGCAGCCCAAGTGGTTGGTGTCCACACGATCAGGACGTGTCTGTCATTGCCCCAGGCCAGCTCGTTGGGCCAGCACTAAGTCAACACTGCTGATTAATAGGCAAATGGAAATCACAGCCTACAAGGGTTCACATAACGCAAACTGAGATCACGTTATAGAGGGGATAATAATATCACTGCCAGAATGGCACGTCTCCTACTCCTTTCCTTTGAGCGTACAGATTTTGTTTTCGTGGTAGATTTTAACTGAGATCAACAAGAACCTCCTTCAATAAAATCTGTGTAACGTGCCTCAGTCACTATGTCTATGAGACGAGAGGGTCACTTTTCTTTCTGGCATTGCTCCCATGTCCTCGTTGATCAAAGACGCGTTCGACTGGAAGAGAGGACAATCCAAACAAACACTTAGACGGGCTCTGTGTATGTACGCAGTGGATCAGGGTCATTAATTCTCGAGACTCATCCACGAATAGAATATTCAATGAAAAATTTTTTTACTACGCACAAAGGAACATATATATTTTTGTGTGCCTGTCTTATTCAACAATTCTTTTCAACAAAGGTTCCCCGCAGCAATATTATTATATCCAGCGATCACTGAACCATGTTATCTGACTCTATTTTTATTGAAGTCGCCAAACATTGTCAAAATCCACACACTGAGAAACCAGAAGGATTTCAGAAATGCTTAGCCACGATCTCAGTCCTAAATGATTGATCAGTTTTGGGCAAGAGCGTCTCGATTGTCCTTGATGACAACAGCGATGTTGCAGCTTGTTGACTCAACTGGCTCTAGGAACTTGCAAGTTTAATACTCCTCGATGTGTCCCGCTGTCGTGTGCATTGAAAGTCCAGCCCTTCACAAACAGACTTAATCCTCTGATCACACACTGCTAGAAAGACGAACGTCAGTCACCGTTAGCACCACTGTATCCTTGTTATCTCCTATGGAAATTGGGCAAATTTGATTAAAGTGGTGCATACATATTATATGTATGTGCAAATGTCCTACACTGTGCGTGTATAATGTGAATGGGTAATATGCTGATGGATATTACACTTGTGTGCGCTAGTATGTTTGTGTAGATTTCTATTTGTTTTTGTGAGTACATGTGTTGCTAAATGGGGCGGAGGGGGGGGGGGGGGGGTATAGATTATACGTCTGTCTCAAGTCACTTCTTGTTTAATACTTTTCACTTCTCTGTGTGTTCGTCAATTTTTTATTAAATCTACGCGGATGTTTCTCTATCTCTCTCTCGCTCCCCCCTCTCTCTCTCTCTCTCTCTCTCTCTCTCTCTCTCTCTCTCTCTCTCTCTCTCTCTCTCTCTCTCTCTCTTTCTCTCTCTCTCTCGGATGTGTCTATCTGTATGTTCGTCTGTTCTTGACTCCACTACGCCAGTGTATTTGCGTATACACCAACTACGTTCCCTCCGCCCTTCGTATCTCGGACAAAAATGCCAGGCGCCGAGGAATATGCCAGTGCCTTGTTGTCTGTCATGCAGAAAGTTCCTGGGAGGCTCCCATTCCTCCCTTCCCGACTGTGCCTCTCCTAGCCCCAGTCTTGCCCAGACACTCAGACAATGTCCTTGTAACAACACTGCCCTGTCTGTATTCACCAGCTCCTGCTTAATCTGTTTGCTTTAGCCAACCTCGTTGACACCACAAAAAGACACCCAGGTATTGCTTCCTCGTGACTCCGATTTTTTGCTCCTCCGCCGCTCTGATAAGGCACAAAAATATTGAATCCGTTATCCTATATTACATTGGAACATGTCGAAAGCAAGCAGGGAACGATCTCTGAAATAGAAACAGCAGCAGCACAAGTCCTTTCTCGCATGTTCTCATAAATAAAATATTTTAAAAAAACAAGTCCTTTCTCGTACGATCTCAGAAACAAAAAAACTCGTCTTTTCTCGTACGATCTCAGAAATAAAAACTTAAAAAGAAACCAGCACAAGTCCCCTCTGAACATCAATGTGCAACCTTTGCGCCGTACATGTTAATAATGCAGTGTGCCCTTCGCCACCTACAGCAAGTTTCCGCTATGTATTGATTATCAACCTTTATTATTCCCGAGTTATTTTGCCCTCCATGATATCGTGGTTCAAATCTATAATGTCACTCAGATGAAAGAACACGCGGCTTGTATACCCAACTGTACCTACGTAGTCTTGCTCTCCCTACCTCGGTATAACAATCCGCGACTCCAAAGACCCCAAAACGCATTCAGCCAGCGACCCTACTTAGCTCTATTCAAATCCACAACATTCAGAAAAGCCCCGTTTCGATTCCTCAGTCCCTTGAATATATCCAGTTCGATACGAGCGAGAAAGGTTTTTAAGATCCCGAAGACAATGGATCTCACAGTGACATCTAACCGCGACAACGCTGGTTCCTTCTTCGATGGGTGGACAGGTGAAAAGAATTCTTTTTCGCTTAGCTGTGTGACGGCGTGAAAATTCTCTTTTCACACTGGCCTTGCAATAGCTTTGTACGCGATTCTCCAAAGGTTTGCTACTTTGCCGAAGAGTTGTGGGGGTGACGGGTTCTACATCTTAACGACAGCGGACTCGTCAGATTTATTGTCGTTGTCACTGGCAAATTGGAAGCCCGTTGTCGCTGGCCCTGTGAAGAAAGAAAGATAAGAGTTTCCTGTGAGTGCAATGGAAGCAGTACAATCTCATATTGCACTTCGTTCGTCACATTATCTACTCGTTTATCTTTCTGTCTTCCTCACGCGTCTCTCTCTCTCTCTCTCTCTCTCTCTCTCTCTCTCTCTCTCTCTCTCTCTCTCTCTCTCTCTCTCTCT